TGATAGGAACACAAGTCTGGCTTCAAGTTTATCGTCTCTGAAACAACAGCAAACCTGTACTTTGGGGAAATTTAAAGTGTAGGATGTACCGGCAAACCGAAAGGTTTCAGCTCCTGTCAATAGTTACGCATACTGCGAAATAACCCGTGTGCTCTATGTGCCTGCTCTGCTGTGATCCTTCGTACATCTTTGGCCAAGCAGGAGAGGAGGAGCGTGAGGAATGCTTCTAAGAACGGTCCAGCAGAGTCAGGAAGCTTCTGTTTGAGCCCAGCGTTAAGCAGTTAGAGCTGTGTGACAGCTGAATTACTTTATTCTTTAGTGCCATAAGTATAAAGTTAAATTTTGAAGAAAGCTTGCTTAGAGACAGCATGACAACAGTCTGTTAGGATGGTAGGAGGAAGTGAATTCAGATTTGGAGTTGGGAAGTTTCTTTCTGGTAGTGAAGAAACACACAACTGCTGACCGCAGTGTCCAGTGGTCAAAGACATGAAAAACAAATCAGCTCAGTTACAGACAGAGTTTTATCTCTCAAAAGTATTAGGCAAGTGACTTGGAGTTGCAAAGTCAATAAAATAGCAATCTGCTCATGGAGTTTTTAAGGACAGAAATTTTCTGAATAAATAACCCACAATGGATGAGATGTGACACTTTGAAACGTGTCCTGGTTTTCACAGCAATCCTCCTTGCCAGCTGTGCACGCTCTGCTTGAGAGCTTGGAGATTGCAATCTGTAGATATCTACCTTTAATGTTCCCTAATTGATGACCTCCACAATTCTCAGCAGAGAAATGAATGCAGGAGGGAGTTGTAGAGCAGAAAGGTCCACAAGAGTGAAAGCTTTTAGACCACCCACTTGGAATGAAATGAAGAATCTGCGTTGTCTAATAATCGTGACCTGTGATGGAAGAGACAGGACCGGTGATTTCTAGTGGGCACTTGAGACAGCCCACCCATTGATGAGGAGAGGCGCCCTGCCTCCCCCCCAGCTGCATAAACAGATGAGTTTTGAAGAGAAAGATTACAAAGTCATGCCGGCAACTTTCTTTCTGGGCTGTATACTTAATAATAAGCAAAGCCAAATGTAAATAAAGTATTTCTGATGAGGGAAGCATGCTGCCCAAATTTGCGTCCTCTTTATACAAGTTAAATGTGGATAAAATCCAGGTCGTTGTTTTCTGTAATCTGCCGCCCGCCCGGTCGGAGCTGGGAAAGCTGCTTCTGAGAGAGGCTTGTTTTCAATATCGGGGCTCTGTTTAATGTCGGCTTCGCCAAATGAAATCAGCATTATCACCCGACATTGATGTGATTACTTTTATAAGTTGCAAGCGATGAATAGCAGAGGAAGGCAGGGAAAACAAGCACAGTAATAAAAAAGAAGGGATTTTTCACGTGGCAAAATATCAGTTTTCTCCATGGCTGATGTTTTGAGTGCCATCCCCTCTAGCTTTTCTACTGCTGCTCTGTGAAAAGTAGAAATTTAAAACTGAGAAAGGGCAAAGATAATAGATTTGTTGTAAATCCTGTGCCAGCTAGTAAATTTCTGAGATTTGCTGTGACTTCCTATTGAAGTCGGAAAGGAAACGTGGGGGGAAGCAAGACTATTGAGTAATCAGCATCCAACTCAAAGTTGCTCAGGACGGTGTTGGATTTGCATGTAGCGAGAGCGGCCATCCATCGTAACTCAGAATCATGAACGCTCTGCCACAAACCATTGCACGTATGTCACTGCCATTTCTTGGTTGTTATTCCCTCTTCAGGAAGGGAGGGTTGTAAGAGGTTGTAAGGGTGAGAGTGTTGCGTGCCTTCTGATAGTCCAGCGTACCAACTTGGGGGTGATGTTCTCGCAAGCAAACAACTGCTCCTGAAATTAGGCTTAAAGGTGAAGTGTGTTTAGAAGGGAGATAAGAGGTTCATGTCACCAGAGCATGGAAAGTTACCTGGCTGCTAGAGAGTGGTGCCAATGCCAATTGTCAGCTCTTCCAGTACTCTTCCCAGTAAATGCATATTTGACTTATGCAATCTGTTGGAATAAGAGGCTTTAATTCCCTCCACAGTTTCTGACGTTTCACTATGTAGAAGCAAAAAATAAACGGACAAGGCCACTAGACTTGAGTTTACGCTTAAGCTGAGGCTGAAGAGATTGAGTTGAGTTTGTCCGATGCGGTGATTAGCGTCCAGGTTTCCAGATCTAGGGAAATATTTTGAACTCTAGGCTGCGCTATACAAAGACTTAAAAACCAAATTTGTAGCCCAAGAAAAGGAGGAATTTTAATTGTTCAAGTCTGTGAGGTTCTCCTTAGTCTTAAAAGACAGAACTCTGACTATCTAAAGCCTATTAATTTGCTAAAAAGTGCTGTTTTCTCAGCTTTAGAATGTGGATGTCTTTTCCCTTCTCCTTTTTTTTTTTTCCTGTGTTTGTTATGGATGAAAGAAACTTTGAAAGAAAAATTGGGTGCTGTTTAAAGCCTGGATGAGTAGCTGAGGTTGGACATTCAGAGGGACTCTGTAGAATGGATTACTTGACCTTGACTCTCCAAGGTCAAAGTTGCCTCTTCCCGATGGGAAGAAACAATGCCATACAGTCTCTACCTGCTCCGTGACGATGCTGTGAACAGCTGTATCTGTGTCTACGCTGGCTGGTTGAGCTGGTCCCTGGAAGCTGTTAGTGCCAGCTTGGAAGGAGTAGACTTGGCCAACCTCTGTCTGTCTCTTTGCCTGTATAGGTTCGGTGTACGGAAGCCTAATTGGCTGCTCCTTAGATTTTAGTTCGGAGGCGGAGCTAGGAGACTGTGTGTGTGGATGTGGGATTCCTGAATGTACTTTATTTTCAGCTAATCATCTGTGGTACCAAAAGCAGCACATTAATAGTCCATTTCCAGTTTATATTAGACTGTAGAGTTTGAGGAAACTGATGAATGCTCGTTTATTCAGACAGAACTGAAAGTTGAGGCCTTTAAATGCTTTCTTCCCACTGTGTCTACGAACGGTTGTCATTGAGTTGCCATTGACGAGCTGATTAATAGTTTTTTCAGCGAGATCTAGCGTTACCACCCAGTACTGGGAGCGCGTTATGGTAGTTGTGATGACCAAGTTATGGGAGAGGATTTCTGCACTGTAAAATATGTGGTCGAAAGAGCTCTGGCAAATGCTGTTGTGTCTCCATTTCACACGCGGGGCAGGGCGGATGGAAGTAAGGAGCTCTGGAGGCAGAGCCTGAAATTGAAACCTGATAAGCTTCATTTTTTTACCACCACACAGCCTTTGACGTGGAGGCAGTTCCTAGGGACAGCAGTCGGTCCCTGACTCATCGTTACTAGTATGTTCTCGTTTCAGAAGAGGATTCAAGGCCTGAATAAATGGTGTCATCTCAGCTGCCCTTCAGCACATGGTGGGAGGAAAAACAAGTACCTGTTCTGGGAAGGGTGATGGAGGGTTGGCACTGCTCAGCCTCTCCTCAGACCAAAGCTTGGTGCCATCGCAGGAGGGAAAGAGCTTTGGTTTTGCTCTGGCACTTGAGAGAAGCTTTGGTCTTCTCAGATAGCCAGCTCAAGTGTTTTCACAGCCCTTTTGTGTGCCTGTAGGGGTGCCTGGGAGCTGGGTGGTCAAACGCGATATGGAAGTTATGTAGAGGGAGAATTTGTTACAGCCTTATGCTTCAGTTATTTCACTTTGCAGAAATGAGCGGTTTAAGTATATGTATAAAAAATTGCGATGAGATCTTCTATATAACTATTGCCTTTTACTGAATCTCTTAAACCCCTTTATGGACATAAGTAACTAGGCCCACATTCCTCAGGCAGGAAGAAGACCGGTCAGCCCGTTTTTATTTCACTGCTGAGCAATTTGAAGCAGAGGAGCGAAGGTTAGCCCCAGTGGGCTTCGCAGCCAGGTATTTGGGGTGGCTCTTGGTTTTTCAGACCATGTTACTTCAGTAGTTAGCAAGAGCTGTCGGTTAACTTTCAACGTGTACAGTTGCACAGCATTGTGTGTAATTCCTACTGCAGACATTCCTCCTTCGGGAAGGTTTTCTGTTCCGTAATTGAAGAGCAGATCTCTTGGACCTGGGAGGGAGTCGTGAGCTTGGAGAGTGTGTTTTAAAATAGCAGTCTGTCTTTGAGGCCTGTTCTGTTTATTTCTTAACCAGGTGCCTTATCAAGCTGAGCCTTCTTTGTTTCGGGGAAAGGAACATTCTTGGCAAAATAGAGCACTTGCAGATTATGGGTCGTCTAATGAGCGGTCCCTGAAAGAAAGCGGGAGAGGAGTGTGCTTTGCAGAGGAAAATCCATAAAGTATCTCTAGAAAAAGATGAATCACTGCTGTCTTCACATAAATGGCATTCTTATAGAGGGGATTATCTACAGTAATGTTTGTCTGTCTGACAACATTCACACAGCTAGGGATTAGTAAGAAATTGTTCTGAACCACCTTATGCATGTGGAATGGTCAAGGCGATATGACTGTCATAGCTGTACTGCCCAGACGAGGTGGCATAGGTATGGGGACACGAACGTGCAGCACAGGTCGAGGGAAAGGTGGTTTTATGGGTGAGATATTAATAGAATTCATCAAAGAATGTTGTTTAATGTTTTCTGTGCAGCTAGGCCTGTCCATACTGAACTCAAATTGTGTTACCTGCTGCTTTTCCAAGATCTTCATATGTACCTTCCTATTGACATCAACTAACTGATGTCCTGGTACCATTGTAGTACTTGTTCATGCCTGCTACTTCTGCCTCGGTCCGTTTATGGCTTGCCCGTGAACTGAGCCACAAACAGATGAAAATGTTAGGCAGAAGGTAGGCAGGCGGGTGGGCCAGCCAGGGCAGCAGGCTTCCCAGCTTGTGAATGGAATCAGGTTCTGCAAGGAGCTCGGGTTGGGCATAAGGATCATCCTGCAGAGTTGTCTGCAGCGGCCAGTGTGAATGTCATGCTGCTCACAGTGCCGCTTCTTCGTTACTCCTCTTCTTTCCCCACTAATACTCCATTTACTTTGTTTTCACAGTCCCTCGGATCAACGGCCATCCAAAACTGGACAGACACCGTGAGCACCCTCCTGGTTATGACAGCTCTTCTACCATGATGAGTAGTGAGCTGGAATCCAGCAGCTTCATTGACTCTGATGATGATGACAACACGAGCAGGTAAGGCATTGGCACTCACTGAGCTGTTAAACACTGTTTGCATCTGTTTCTCAGGGACTTGACTGTATTTCTGGGCTTTCCTGAAACACGCTGACTGGTGAGATGAGAAGATTTATATCCTCTCTTTTTTTCTCCCCCCCGTCTTTTTTTTTTTTTTTTTTTTTTTAATTTTGCTGTCTTCCTGCTACATATAATTTGAGCACTGGTAATTTGTCAGTAACATCATGTTGTATATAATCACTGCTCTGAGAAACAAGCTAAGTTATTGGGGTCACTATCCAAACTGCCTATAGCCACTGTTCCAATTAAGAGGAAAATTCTGTTCCTGTTCTTTCCTTTTAACAGCAAGAATGATCACATTTTAAGATCAAAGCAATGTGCAACTGTCTACCTATTTATAAAGTAATGGTGTGAATATTGTAACAAAATACCTTCAGCGTAGATTCCTAGTAAGTATGCACTTCACTAAAGCTGAATTGTAAAGGAATTCCTGTGTAATTGCATGCTCTGAGACCTGTGAGCAGTACAGGAATTCATCAAAGTTAATGCTATTGCAAAGGCAGGCTGTGGTGCCATATATTTATGACTTCTTAATTATTTTTTTTCTTTTTGTGCAGACAGAGAGAATGTGAATTATTCTTTGCTTTTTGCAAAACAGCTCTCCATTCCAAGGCATCCTTGTTAATCTGTAAAGATATTTTTGTTGTTCTGTAAAAGGTTTACAAACCAACACATTTCTCTGATTAAAAATACCTATTTTTTTAAAGATGTAAAATGAATCAAAACTAATATTCTGCCCTTCCCTGGCTGCAGTGACAGCATTCTCTGAACACTGTCTCTAGAGCTGTTGTTCATCCAAATGAGCTATTAAAACCCATTACAGATTTCTCTTAATTGTCAGAGAACAAGAAGATTGCACATCTGTGGTGGTTCATAGAGATCTATACCTAAAAGAAACAGGCTGAAATGTGATATTTTTAAATTCTAGGTAGACTACTTAAACATTTGCTATGTTTACAAACAGATTATTAGCTTATTGAACTCAGTGGATCTATTTAGTCTTGCAATTAGTCATAGCTTAGAACCAGTTGAAGAACAGCAGTTCCTTCAAATTCTGTTCAAAGGCTGGGTGTTTCCAAAGGGTTGAAAGGGTAACTAAATGAATATTTAAAATTCGGTCCTGAGTTAGTTTCAAGAACTTATTTTGCAGTTACGGTGAAGTTGCCAACACCTGAAGATACAGAAAATGAACCTTCTGGATGCTTTGTACTTCACCTGGATATTCATGTGCATAAAGGGTTGGCAGGATCAGTAGTTAACCTGAACGTGCTCTCAGCCTTCCTAAAGCCTTTAGGGCTTCTCAGCCTCCTCCCCTCCCTAAAAAATGAAGCCCACAAAACCAACAACAACAACAACCCTGCAGTTGATTTTGTTTCTTGTAAATAAATTAATCATTTCCATGGCAGCAAGATATGCAGCAAGGCAGGATTAGCGCAGTCAGGGTGGCCGCTGAAGCACATTATACTAGACCCAGCTAAATTTTTTATATATTAATAAAGTAAAGCTTCCTGCGTCTGACCTGAGAAGAAAGAGACTCTTCGAAGCTGCTGCGCAGGCCTTTTCCTTTCTAGGCTGGGGCAGAAGCGTTTGGCAGAGAGAATAGCTGCCAGGCCAGCTAGTCAGGAAGAACAACTAAATGGAATGCTCCAAGGTATGCTGTTGTGTTACGGGGCTGATGTTCTCCAGCAGATGAGGAGTTGTGCTGGCAGGGAGAAGTTTTCTTTAGAGGCAAATACAGCCAACTAGAAAATCGAGCATGCTCCAGATCCGCTGGAGACAGCGGCCTGGGGAAAAAGAGGCTGAAGGGGGTAAGTTTGTTTAATAACAGCTGATGAACTCTGGTGTCAGAAACTGCATTGGAGAGGAGGGTGTACGTGGAGGGGGTCACTGAGAGAAGAAATCAGAAGGATGTTACTGTCTTGGAAGTGAAGAGGTTGTAAGGTTGAGGATGCTTTTCTAACAGTGTGTGTGTGTGTGTGACATTGGTTTATTTAATTTAAACTGGGAGCGCTGCAGTAGAGTTGATTAATTTCCAGCCCAAGGAAGTTCTGTTGCACTTAGAGAGAAAGAGTATTTTTTTCTTTCAGTGAATTAATTTATTCACAGGTATTACAGGACAGTACAGAACTCTTCCAGTAGTGTGAGTGCAATAATTTATTTCCTTTGTTTTCAAAGTTTGATCTAATTGAACATCGGTGTTATTTGCAGGTAGTAGGTGGTATTTTGAGTGCAGATCGATGTAGGGGGCTCATGGTGAACTTTACAGTAAGAGTCTTGTTTTTGTCTTCTGTTAAGCAAATAAAGGATGAGCAGATGAGACATCTGTAGTAGCTGTAGGATTATTCTCAGCAACTTGCAATTAGTATTCCCAGTTTAATGTAACTAAAACAATTTGTTGCCAAAAAAAAAGATTATGTTTATTTCTCATTTAAGAAATTAACGTTCGTTCTTTTTAAACTATATGGATAAGCTTTCTTTAACAAATTGTTACCTTTTTTCCTTCCTTTGCGGAGTGTAAATGGGACAAATTATTATTATTCTTTTTAAAAATCTCTTCTGTGGGATTTTTTAGCCATTCTGTTACAAGTGCAGTCAGGGTTTTGGCCAGTAGCTAGTGCAGGAAATTGGTAGTTATGATTCCAGATTGGTTTTTCATCTTTGCACTTTATTTTTTCCCCAAAGCTCAAATATACCATACTGTTTTGCTCACCAAATTGTAATAATAACTTTTACTCATTTCTGGGGATACTTCAGAGATCAAAATATTACTCCTGATTAGAATACATTTGAGCTGCTATTTAGCATCCAGATACTCCTAGAATATGAGATATGCAGTGTTTATAAATGATTCAGCAAGGATACATTAAGGCTGTGGCTTTAAAAGAAATTACAAGAAGAGATGATGAGCTCCATGAAAATAGATATAGGCTTGACTGCTTTTTAAGTAATTGCAGAGACTGTGAAACCTGATGTTCACAACTAGGCTTTCACTCGGTGCGGGAGTCTTCCCGAAACAAGCTGTCTTGCCTTCTGCTTCAGTACAGGCTTCTTAAGGCACCTCACGTCACTGTCCAGCTTCCCCCAAGAAGGGATGAAAAACTGAGTTGGGTGAGCTCTCCGTTTATGGTTTCTCCAGGGTAAAAAGTAACGTTTTCTAATGTTTGTCTGTATGGAAGCCAATGTGTAAGCACACAAAAATGTTTCTGCACTGCCTTCTGATCATCAGTTTTGTGCAATTAATGTGAGAGGCTGCTTTAGCTCAAGTGGCTACTTCTCTGAAACACTGTCTGTCCTCTTGAACTAAACTTGAACTGTGGCTTTTCTGAGGAACTGGTTTCCATTCTTCCAGTCTAATGCTAAAAATGTCTCATGAAAAAAATACTGCAGAATAAAAGAACTTCACTTCTCGCATATTATCATCTAGTAACAGAAGTTCAGAGATTTGCCAATAAACTCTGGTTTTGCTGGGTTAATTTAAAAGAAAAATCTAAAACGTGCACCGCTTACAGAGGAATCTAAACTTTTGGTCGTATATTGAAAATGAATGCCTTTTCCAAAGTCGTCTGGCCCCCAAGTTGCCAAAGTAAATAGGGAGGGCGAAAGCGAAGAAGGAACAAGATGCTGATTTTAGCATAAGCTGATCGTTCACTCTTCATCACCTCAGATGTGCTCTGTCTGCCTTTCTGCGGTGTACTTGGACCTTTCTGCTTTTTTCCAGTCTATCTTTTTGGACTCATCCCTGATGTATCTCGCTAAAGATAGCAATGAAAGTATTTTTGTGTCCTGTATTTGATGGTAGATTAAAATCCCCCTTCTAAGGACTCGGAGGCAGAGACCAGTTCTGTTTTCTTGCTATACTCAGTGCTGGCAAAAGGTATTTTTGTCCGAACCAATTTTAGAAAATCAGACTAAAAGCTGGAGAGTTGGTTTTCTTTGTTTTTCTGAGCAACACCGTATTGGTGTGCGCTGGAGCAGGAGGAAGACATTGGCATAGGCAGTGAACCTTGGCAGTCAGCAGATCTGATGTGCTGTAGGTGGTCAGGAAAAATATTGTCAGAGGAAGTATACTGACATACATTGGAAGGTGCTTTCAAGTTGTGTACTACTTAGGCTGTAAAATGCCATGAAATAGCACCAGACTGCTGCCAAGACTGCTTGAGACACAGAAATTCAGTGAACTGTCAGCTGAAACTCTCCTGTTCCTATCCCTTGTTTCCATAACTTGCTATCCGGATAAAATGCTCGTTGTCTGGAAAGTGGAGGAAGAACTTTGCTACTGGGTGAATTCCCATCGTGATCTGCTGCTGCAGGCAGGTGTGGCTTTCAGTGTAGTTTTTATCTCCGTTTGCTTTCTTTGCTATATGAACATAGCTAACTTAAAATTGGGGTTTTTTTATGGTAGGCAATGTTATCCAGAGGCGTTACTCCTTTCAGGGACATAGTAATGAAAAAACGAATAAATGAAATCGCATGTATGAATTGAATGAATTCTCTTTATCCAGAGTAGCCATTAGAGAATGCTGTTCTAAAAAAGTTGGTGCCAGGAAATACTGGGTACTCCTTAAGTGATACACACTGGGATAAAACCATAAAATAGGATATGGCAGTAGGTGAAACGTGTGTAAACAGTGGAAAATCAGTTGCCTGGATGCTGTCAATGACTTTGAAGTGTGATGATAGTAGCCAAAAGGACAGATAAAATGTTAAGGTGTTGTGCTTTCTGTTATGGACCACCTCAGCTGTCTCCCAAACTAGTGGAAAGCCTTTCCTCGCCATGCGAGGGAGCAGGGCTTCCACACCCCTGTGGTTTGCCGAATTCATGCTCTAATGGGTGGAAGGGCAATCCCATCCCTCCCGTAGCCTTTGAAGGTATCTTGTTGCTTGACTTGTGTTTGTGCAGAAAAGCTCCCCCAGTCTTCTGCCTCTTCGCTGCCCGTCTCAAAGAGCAGGCAGGTTCACTGTGGTGTGAGCGACATGCCTTGTCTGCCTTCAGATGCTCCTAAACTGTCGTGTGCTGGAAAGTTTTAGCTGAATCTGACTAACGAGAAGTTCTGGGAGAGAAGAGGAGGAGAATGAAATCAGAGAGGCAGTAGGAAGAAGGAGAATATTGGTAGTAAAATGTAAGAGGAGATTTTTGTATCAGTCTTTGGCAGTGCTTTCAATAAGAGTGGTGAATGTTGACTACGTCCAATTTTGGGAGCCCTGCATCTTTTATTTTTTCCTGTTGCAAAGGCAGAGCCTCAGAACACCAGGTGCTGTGAGCTGTTTCCACAGATCCAGAATTATCAAATTTTTGATCTCTTTTGAAAATACCACCTCTTGGCTCTTCAAATTAATTTGCCTTGCTGGGAGGGGAAAAAGGAGTGTGTGAGGTTAACATGCCTGAAATAGTTTTGTCAACTCAAGAGAGAATGTGAAGAGATTCACACCCTCTGAGCAGTTCCATCATCAGTAATATTCAGCTCAGTACGCTTGACTAAAACACACCGACTTTACGCAAGATGGGTTTCCCTGTGTGGTGGGTTGGGATCTAATGACAAACTCCTTTTTGAAGTTGCTGGTATCAGGTTTGCCCGAGGTATTGCCGCATTCCTG